CATACCAAAAGGCAAAAACACATTTCGAATAGTCAGAACAATCATCACCAGAGATGGCAAGAATGTTGTAATTTTCAAAACAAGGACCTGAAACAATTATGATTAATATGCTAAAGGCTCTAAATAGAAAAAGTGGACAACATGTAAAAACAGATGAACTGTGTAAGCAGTGAGATGCAAATCCTAAGAAAAACCAAAAAAGGAGAGATAAAAAAATTGTAACAAAAATGAATTCAAAGATGAAATTATACTAATTCTTTATAGTCATTTTTAGAGGATAAAAGCTGAGGGAATAAGTTCTAACTCATTTTATGAGGATAGCATTACCTAAATGTCAAAACCAGACAAAGACATTACAAGGGAAGAAAGCCACAGATCAATATTTCTCATAAACATAGAGTCAGAAGTCCTCAACAAAATGTTAGAAAATTCTGCTCTGTGAAATAAAATGTCAAGAGAATGAAAAGACAAGGCACAGACTGGGAGAAAATATTTGCAAAAGACAGGTCTGATAAAGAACTGTTATCCAAAATGTTTTTTAAAAACACTTAAAACTCCACAAGAAGAAATCATGAAACCTGATTAAAAAGTAGACCAAAGACCATAACAGATACTGCACAAAGGAGATATATAGTTGGCAAATAAGCATATAAAAAGATGCTCCATGTCATTTGTTTTGAGGGAAATGCAAATTAAAATAATAATGAGATACCACTTCACATCTATTAAAATGGCCAAAATGCAAAACACTGACAACACCAAAAGCTGGAAAGTTGTGGAACAGGAAATCTCCTTATTGCTAGTGGGAATGTAAAGTGGTACAGCCACTTGGGAAACACTTAGGCGGTTTCTTATAAAAGTAAACATACTCTTACCATACTACCACACTCCTTGGTATTTAACTAAAGGAGTTAAAAACATGTTTACACGAAAATGTGCACGTGGATATTTATAGAAGTTTTATTCGTAATTGGCAAAACTTGGAAGCAATCACATTGCCCTTCAGTTGGTGAATGAATAAACTTGGAAGCAACCAAGTTGCAGATCCAAACAAAGGAATATTATTCAGCTCTGAAAAATGAGTTATTGAGCCACAAATAGACATGGAACAATGGAAGAACCATAAGTCCCTATTATTAAGGAAAAAATCCAATCTGAAAAGTTTACCTACTGTACGATTCAAACTCTGACATTCTGGGAAAGGTAAAACTGTGGAGACCATAAAAAAAAAATCAATGGTTGCTAGGGGGTTAGATGGGGATGGGGGATTTATAGGCAGAGCATGAAAGAATATTGGGGTAGTGAAAATACTCTGTATGATACCATAATGATTGATCATGTCTTTATTATTTGTCCAAAACCACAGAATTTATAATACTAGGAGTTAATTATAATGTAAACAACAGACTTTGGATGATTATAATGTTTCAGTGTGGGTTCATCAATTGCAACAAACGTACGATTCTCTTGGGGGATGTTGATACTGAAGGAGTCTATGCATGTGTGAAGACAAGGGTACACGGGAGATATTTCCACTTTCCCCTCAGTTTTGCTGTGATCCAAAAATTGCTCTAAAAAAGTAAAGTATTAATTTTTTAAAAGTGATACAGAAATTATGCATATTAGTTTTCTCACATGCCTTTGAAAGGAATGAATAAGCTAAAGAGCCTAGAAAAGTTATTTCTAGGTTGATATCTGCGGCTTGCCTAACTTACCACCGAGAGATTGGTAACTGTCCTCTGCTCAATTCCCTCCATCCAACTCACCTACATTAAGGCTTTTGCCATACATTCAGGCTACCTCTAAGAATTCTTTGAAACTGAAAGGCATCTCAGTAAACTCACCATGTAGGATTACAGTAATAGATTCAAACAATGGTAATTCAAATTTAATGGCCATTTATCAATTATTTATATAATTTTCCACTGTGTTCATAACTCATTTTGTGTAATAATATAACCATAGGAAAAAGATTGGTGGTAAAGTTTAATTCCATATTTTTGTTTTGCAAGTCCTCAGCATAACGTTTAGAATGTCTTATGAAAGTATTTAACAACTTTTGCATACTTTTGCTCAGTTTTGTTCTCACATTTGATTGGCTTTGTATTTCATACTGCGCATAACTGTTTCAAATATAGAAGCTTAGTGAATACTTTAAGCTAGGTCTTTCTTAAAATGTGGTCTACAGGTTTACACAATAATTTCACCTAAGTACTTAGTAATCAAGGCAGGATGTCACACGCATGGAACAAGACATCTAAAGAACAATAACATATTGGTGGGAAAATGTGAGACAGTGTTCTCATCCAGTCTCTGGCAATTTCAAGCTGAGTGTCCTTGGAAATTGCTTCTTTATTATCAAATTAAATCATTGCCTATATAACTTCAGACATATATCCAAGCATTACAAAGTAGTAATGATTCTAAAAGGAGGCTATCCAACCTGCAGTATACATGATCACCAATTCTGAATAGAATCCTTAAAAAAGAAACATTCTCATCTGAATTTTTCTTTACTTGGATGCAAAACACGTTTTCTGTGTATACGAATCATTGACTTGGTAATTTGCAAATACTCGTTCTTCTCCACAGTGTCAATAACAGAGCTATGCTGCTGGATGTCTTCAGTTTGCTACACCAAATCTATTTTCAAAATCATAGGGGTCTTTTGTGAATGATATTACTTTTTTTTTTTACTTTACTTTGATATTTAAGCAGAGAATGAAGTCTGCCATGTGACATGTTAAAAATATCATTGTGTCCATAGTATAGATATTGGATTGAAGAACAGGAAGCTAGAGCCTTGGAAATCATTAAGAAGACTGCTGTAGTCTTCCTAACAAGCATGATAGAGTTATGAATAGGGACATTTACTATGATCATTTGAGTGATAAAGATGCTTTCGTGAGTCTTGGGCAGACTCTTACTGACAGGCTTTGGTCAGTAAGAAGAAGTTAAGTGTTGATGGAAGACATGGAATCAGACAGGGCCTCTTGGAGAGCAATGAGATTTACTGAGCCAGGAAACAGTTAGTTGAAAAAGCTTTTTTGAGATAGCAATGATGAGTTCAAATTCACTTTAAGAAGTCTAAGGAGTTTTCAGGTGGAGATTTCTAGAAGTCATCTGTTAATACAAGGTTTAGTCTCAGCAGAGAGCATTAGAAATAAATTGGGAGTCATCAACATAAAGTAGAAATCATAAAACTGAGAAACCCAAACGCTGAATTGGTTCTTTATGACCATGATATCAGGGGTTTTTTTGGAGTAAAAGAGAAAATCATACACCCATATTCCAATGTTATTAAAGAATAAATATGGACTGCCAGAAATATTAGAAGCAAATAATATTGAGAAACAAAGGAAAATAATAGGTAAATACAGTAAGAATATTGTATTTATCTTTATCAATAGGCAGTGAAGAGACAGATATTCATTTGCTTGGGTTGTGGGTAAACAAACATAATCTCTGTAGAAGATAGCAGGTTAAACGGTGCTCCCAGGTGAGTTCTTGATTTCTGTTTAGGGTAAGATGAATATTGAAGTTTAAAACTTTACTTCAGGATTCTGAATATGCTTTTCACACCAACTAAGGTATAGCTGAAGACAAGCTCTATTGAGTGTTATTACTGGAGATAGTAAACCAATATCTAAAATAAATAAAGGTACAGAAAGAGATAAGACATATCCCATGGCTCATTAGGTAATACCTTGCCACACTATTATGTTTATCCTTCCAACCTCACTTTTCACATGCAGACAATTTCACAAAAATGACTCAGACATGTTTCGCAAGGTCACAAGGTAGAAAAATTATTCCATCCCAAACCCAATTATTAATATAGATATTTGGGCAATACCAATCTTGGCTTATATCTCTGATGAAAGAATTATGCCAGTCACCGGATACACAGAATAGAAAAGAAATGAGAGTTAAATCAAGAATCCAAATCAAACAGGTAAGTGTGTAAATCTTAATATACCTGTGTGTATATGTGCCTGCATATGTGCTTGTGTGTGTGTAATGTTTCTTTATTCAATCACTATCTGTTTAGGGAGTTGAATCAAAATGGTAAAATACCAATTCCTGGGACATCAGATATTCTCTTAACATTAACTAAGTAAAACTAGCAGTCTAATTTCATTTATGGTATTGTCCTTCCCGTTGTAATTTTACTAGCCTTAAACTGAGAAACATAGTGATTGCAGGGTGACCACATATAGTTACAAAGAGATGACATATCTCTAGAGGGTGACATTTACATAGATTATGTGAAACACCCCAATCCCAGACTTTGCTATGCCTAGTTTGCACAACTGTAAGTGATGATCAAGAGAATTTTATTTGCAGAGAATCTGTGCTAAGCCTCAAATTTTGGGCATGCAGTTAGTGTCACACTCTTGTGGGAAGGCAGAGAAACACTGTCTCATAAGTGTTATCATGATTGTAGCAGGAATTTAACTGCATTATCATCTTTTCAAATGTATTACTATATATACCATTTCTTAAAAAATATTTTTTAGCCCTATTAATCAGGGAAATAATAAACATGAGAAAAATATTCTGAACGCCTAACAGGAAGTTAGATCAAGTTATTCATAATTTATTGGATGTAAACTGGCATGCTAAAAATTTTCAAAGCCTCATTCAGAACCCTTCTTTGGGCTTCCTTCAAAGGAATATTTTTACAAGTTTGCCACCAGCTCTGTTGGTTCATAAAATTAAGCCTTGGGAGTAATAGTTCCATGTACCATGAGAACATCGGCCTCTTATCGCCTATTCATTTTGTATAATGGTTTGGTTCCATGGCTTTATGTGTAATCACTCATTATATATTTAAGCCATAGTTTTCAGAAATATATTTCCTCTTAAAGAGACTAGATGGTTCTATGTGGCAGAAGACAGAATCAGTCTAACAATGTCCCTGACACTTCTCTTGAGTCTGCCTATTTAGAAATGTAGGAGAGCCTTTTTCCCCCTGTGATCCTGCACTTGTGTAAGAGAAAGAATTTTATCTCTGCAGGAAATGGAAGAATTTGTCCAAAGTTCAGGCGAAGATGGTATTGTGGTGTTTTCTCTGGGGTCAATGGTCAAAATCCTCACAGAAGAAAAAGCCAATCTCATTGCCTCAGCCCTTGCCCAGATTCCACAGAAGGTTAGTACAAACTCCAGTCATGGTGGGCAGCTGCTCTGCCAACTGGAGAGAGTGTGTGGCTAATAGTACTCTTTCTAGGTGAAAGTTGTAACTCATCATACACTGAGAAGAACTGGCACCACCTTTAAGTAAAAATGTCTCAAAACATTAAAATGTATTTGGGGCACATTTTACCATTTGCCTACTGAGCCTTCGCATTACTATGAAAATACATCTTTTCATGAAGTCACTTATTTTCAATGAAATAGAGATGAAAATGTTAAGATTCTAATAACTTTTTACTCTTTGAAACCTTATGACTTGCACTGACTCTTCCCAAAAGTTCTAAAGTGTGTTAGCTTCAAGGTCCAGGAAAAGAGAGATTACACATAGAGTAGGGTAGAATCATGTTCAAGAATATACTTTATATTGCTAGGCTTTATTAGGATTCAATTAAAGTATAGTTGGTTTAGAAATAGAAGCCTAATCTATCTAAGATAAATTTCCTACAGTTAAAACAATTAAAGATCCTAGTGTTATTGTCAAACAGTATATATTTTCTAATTTATGACATTCAATTAACTTTAATTTTGTTAATTCTAGATTTCTACTCTTTATATACTTCCATTCACAAAACACCCTGTCTCTTTATATTTTTATATTAAAGTAAATAAAACTCTATAATTGTAAGTGTACTATTTAGGCCTGTTAAAACTCTGGATTTTTATTTTTAAACTTTTCTGATGAAGAGTTTGCCACCTATTAGTATTTAATCTGAAAATTGTCATACAGAAAACAAAGAAAAAAGAAAGAAAAAAATTATGTAACAAAAGGTTAGCATCCTAACAAGATACTTCATTAAATAATAGAGTATAAACAAATCCTCTATCTCATTCCCCCTCAAAAACAAAAAAAGGGAAAAAGAGAGAAAAAGAGAGAGAGAAAGGAAGGAAGGCAGGCAGGAAGGAAGGAAGAAAGAAAGAAAGAAAAACAAAGGGAGGAAGGAAGGGAGGGAGGGCAGAAAGGCAACAAATCATCCAAAAAGCAGCCAAAAAACTTTTAAAGCTAATTATATTTTTGGAAAACATTACATTTGAAACTTAAGAACTAGGATGGCCTCATGACAAAGTTACGTAGTATTCATGTTCGTTTTAATGCTTTTTAACCCTCATATTCTGCCTAAACTAGTCCTATTTATTTTCTATTTCTTCACTCACAATCTCACTTCCAAAAGCTTTTAGGTGATAATAGTATATTTAATAGACTATTAGTATAAGCCCTTTCAAAAAAGGTAAAGGCAAGCAGTTTTACCTTATCTCTCAATGTTTGCAAACTACCTCTTTTGTATGTTCCTCTCAACTATCACGTAAAGGAGGATGGGCTGAGAAAGGGCGGGTTTGTGCACCACCTGCCGGCCATTCAGGGCAGAACAGGATGCTTAGAACTCAGAATTTGGAGGACATGTGCACCCCTCATACCGGCCTGGCTGGGATGTTAAGTCATTCAATATGTCAATGTCCCAGACTCTTTGCTGATGACACTGGTGATGCTCTGCTCCAGTCATGCCTGGTTTTCTGCCTGGGACGTGCCTCACTCCTTGGAGCCATAGCCTGGGGAACAAGAGAGTCAGCCTTTTATGCTACCTGAAAAAAAAAAACCCTCTCTTCTGTCCCTAGAAAAGAGCTTCTGGTTTCCACCATCAGATTCTCCACTGGATCTTCAGCCTGTTAGGCACAGAGGACTGAAGCTCTGCTTAGAATAAAATCTTCCTTGATAAACTACTATGCAACCTAGATCAGTTTCACAAATAACTGAAACAGAAGATGAAAGTGAAAAGCGTTTGGACTTGTCTCCATTTGGGAATTAAGGCCCAGAGTTGATTCCAAGAAAGCAGGAGCTATTTGAAGCATGTGGAATACAACTGTCATGCCTTGGAGCATGTCAGGGAGGGAAGCAAACTGCACTTTTCTCTCATTTATCAATTCCTCTCAAAATACAAAGAAATAAGGAAGAACATTATGCTCATGACCCTCTCTATTCAATTATATTTTTATGCAAGAAAAGTAATCTGCACTCAGCTATAAAATATCTGAAAACAAAATAATGGTTATAGATTTAAACATGATATATTATATCTTGAATATCCAACAAATTATTTAGAACACAATCTATGTTTCTTAAATTAATAAAACTTACAAATTATCATTTTTATCCTTTCAGAACATCAAGTGGTATTTGCTGTTTTCAGATTTTAGTATACTTTTTCTTGAAAAACTTTCTTCGCAATATTCTTTTGTTTATGACTTAAAGTTAACTGCTGTAACAGATATACATGAACATCAGTTGTTTGAACTTTTTATGAACTTCTGTATACTTCATGTAATACCTCAACACAGGCTTTCAAATAGTCAAAAAAAAAAAAACTAAGATGGACTATATGATTTATAAATAACTCTATGGCCTTAAAATGCCTTAATTTTGTGTTTTTACTTACAAAATTAAAGCACTGTCTTCCACAGGTTTTATGGAGATACAAAGGAAAGAAACCGGCCACGTTAGGAGCCCATACTCGGCTCCATGATTGGATACCACAGAATGATCTTCTTGGTAAGACCAAGAAAAAAAAGCTGTACAGTTGGATGATGGGCAAGTAGCTGCTTAACAGCAAGTAAATTCAATAAACATTTTAAATATTTAAATTTCCACATTTTACTTGCAGTTTTAAAGCAGATATAATTAAAGAATGGACCATTAATTTTATAGATTGATGCTTACTCTGGCTCATAAAAGAGAATCTTCAGTTAAGACTCTCACCGCTCTCCAAGTTTCGATTTCAGTTCTGATATGGCCTCCTCAGTAAGTCTTTCTAGACAATGCAGAGGAAGTTAATTCCACCTTTTTCGGGGATCATGATTATCTGAGATAGCAATTCCCCACGTTCTTGGCTTTTGTAGAAAACACTGCCTTCTTCATTGAGTTATCCAATAGTTTTTTCCCCATCTCTCTCTGAAATTCTATTAATGTATTAAGTATCATGAAATCCTCACCTGCTTCTCATCCAATCCCCAAACTAGGTCATCCCAAAGCAAAAGGTTTTATCACTCATGGTGGAACCAATGGGATCTATGAAGCTATCTATCATGGGGTGCGTATGGTGGGAGTTCCCATGTTTGCTGATCAGCCTGACAACATTGCTCACATGAAGGCCAAAGGAGCAGCTGTGGAGGTGAACATAAACACAATGACAAGTGCAGATTTACTCAATGCCTTGAGAACAGTCATTAATGAACATTTGTAAGTACTACTACTTTTAAAGGCTTGTCATTAATTATGCTACCCATCATACTCAAAAATGTCCAATGTTTCATGCATTTCTAACTAGTGTATTTTCAAATAACAACTATAACATGACCATTTAAAAACCATTTTATTATTTCATTTCCCAAATTGCTGAAGTGATTGTCTGAGATGATAAAACAAACTAAGATTTCAAATATTATATTAATGTTTTTTCAAAATAAATAATGTTGGTGATTACATAAATTCTTAGATAATTTTCTGGATAATCTGCTTTTTTTATAAACAAATATATATGTTTATTTAAATATTATAACCATTCAGTAAGTACAAAAATGGAAGTGATAATTCACCCAATATTGATCATTCAAAAATAATCATTGTTAACACTTGGTGTATATAATTAATCAGTATATGCATATATACAGGGAGGAGTAGTTAGAGTAGTTAATAATTTTATAAATATCAATTGATACTATATATGCATTTTTAAACAAAATTTTAAATTTTATCTGATTTAGCTAAAGATAAAATAAATTTGTAAACTACATTTATAAACTATATGAACTTTAGATACAGATGATTATATCTTAATATTTTTCTCTGAAAGGTCTCACCAAGGTTAAGAATTAATATATGTATACATAGTGTTTATTTTTAACAATGTGTTTTAATTTTAGCCACTAATAGTTGAAATTGGAAGTTATTTCATCTCTAATATATATTACTTAAATTTTTAATTTGTCAATATTTATGGCACTTATTTTCCTCACAGTAATTTAATCTTTTCACATATTTTAAGAGAATCAATAATCACCATTGAATCAGAGATTCTACAAAATATTTTGAATTCATTCTTAACTGAATGCTTCATATGGAATTTTCTTTCATCAAAGAGTCATGGACTCCCTGGAATCACAATTAACAATATTTGCTCATTGACTTGATGGGAGAATGACACCTATCTGAATATAACATACTTAGATCTCACTTTCTTTCCTTTTGAACTGTGCAGGGTTACTTATGATCTTCTGGCTTTAAATGCTGCTGTAGGGTTTTGAGGACTTTCTGATCAGTATTACTTTTTAAGAGTTTCTTGTTCAGCCTGGAAATAGATAGTATTTTTTAAATTCAGAAACTTAAACATGGCATATCCTTATCATTTGTTTTCTACATTTTCCTGGGATTATAGTGTATTCTTTTACCACTGTTAATCTAGGATGAAAATTATTCAATTTTCCTTTTCAGAAATTAATTTTTTTTGTTTATTAAAATGTCTTTTAATTCCATTTTTTATCTCTATTTCAGGGACATCAGATTTTAATATTTCCTATGTTAAAATATTTGAGTTTGTTTTCTTTCTCTATTATTTTCTAATTGTTCTAATCATTTTTTGCTTTCTTAATTTACTGAGATTCCTTCAAATAGTCCATAAATTAGTAAATTCACTTTTTCATGAACATTACTTACTGTTTGTAATTTTCTTATTAATCCCTTAAAGTGCTATTTTTAACAACTAATTTCAATAGCTCATCTTGTCTTTTGTTACCTCCTCTTGTTTCATAATCTGATCCTCGAGCTTTTGTTCATAACTCTCACATTCTTACTCTACTCAAACTTTCCTCTTCTTTTGAATTATGTATTATGCCTAATTACATTCTAAGTCTGTCATTTTTATGTTTTTTCCCCAGTATTGTGTAAGTTGCTGTCATGTGTTTCATCTTGCTTTCACTATTTGCTCCACATTTGTATAGATACCTTATTTTAAATGTTGTTTCCGGGCTTCCCTGGTGGCGCAGTGGTTGGGAGTCTGCCTGCCGATGCAGGGGATACGGGTTCGTGCCCCGGTCCCACATGCCGCAGAGCGGCTGGGCTTGTGACCTATGGCCGCTGGGCCTGCGCGTCTGGAGCCTGTGCTCCGCAATGAGAGAGGCCCGTGTACTGCAAAAAAAAAAAAAAAATTTGTTTCCAGTTTATCTCAGACTCAATTATTTTTATTCAGAGGCAAAACTTGAAGGATAGTTGTAATATTCCATTCACATTACTGAAACCTGCAATTTAGGAGTTAGGAGAGAAGGTCAACATAAATGGAATTTTTTGCAGCTTTCTTTAGTGGAACTAGTCTATGAAAAACCATCTGTTAAAGCCCTAGCAGCAAGGTTTTCTAGACAAAGTGGTCAATGTATTCATTTCCAAAAGGGAAGACACTCAATATCTGCCTTGAACTCATCCTAAAAAGTCAGCCCTGGTGGTCCATTTTCCCCTTCCACTCACATTGCAATCAAAAGATTTTTGTTAAGATACATATATATTCAAATCATATATTTCAGAATATTATATATATCATCAGGATCTGGAAAGGGAGGTTAGGAGTTCAGCAAGGCTTACTATGATCTTTTGTTTCTCATAAATGATGATCTTGATGTCTAATCTATTAGGCTATTACCAAATTGTTAATTGCTGATAATTTGGTTCATTTTACTAAATATCAGAGTAGGTAAATTCTGTAATTTTTAAAAATTCTACTTCATTTTATAGAAGGCTTACTAAATTTTCTTGTTGATTTGAAAACTATTGATGTGAAAAAATTATACTCTTAGAATTTCCCAGGAAAATACCTGAAATTATTTATTTTAAAAATACCTTAACTGGGCTTCCCTGGTGGCGCAGTGGTTGGGGGTCTGCCTGCCGATGCAGGGGACGTGGGTTTGTGCCCCGGTCTGGGAGGATCCCACGTGCCGCGGAGCGGCTGGGCCCGTGAGCCATGACCGCTGAGCCTGTGCGTCCGGAGCCTGTGCTCCGCAATGGGAGAGGCCACAACAGTGAGAGGCTCGGGTACTGAAAAAGAAAATAAACAAAAAAAAGAAACAAAAATAACAAACAAAAAAATACCTTAACTTTAACCCTAAACTTAATTCTAAGTCTGAAATTATCTGGGAACAAAAGTGTTTAGTGTAGAGTATATATATAATGTATTTGTATTCCATTTTCTTATTCCTTAAAGGAGTTAAGGAGCACGAAGTTTATATTTAAATACATAAACCATAGCAATTTCATAATATTTTAACATAACTGTCATAAAACAGTGTACAACAAATATTAAGTAATCATCTTAATGAGCATAGATTATCCTATCTCATTTGTAGGAAGGCTTACTGTATTTTTATTTGTATTCACATGTACAAGTGTATCTGTCAAGTATATGCATATTTCAAATTTTAAATCTCTATCTATAAATGGAGAAAACCTTGAATAAAAATATGATTTGAACAGATAGTCTCTTATCACCACTGTAGTTTGCCTAAAATGTATTAGGATGAAACTTGTGTAACTACTCTTCTAGTCCTACCTATATTTCAATCTGGTTGAAAGAGAGTATGAAAACAACGAAAAACAAAACAAACAAAACAACAAAACAAAAAGAGAGAGTATGACTATTCTTTCTCACTGTGCACAAAAAAAAGAACACAAGTAAATTACCTCTTGCTGCTGGATGTTGTGTATCATGTTCACTGGTGAATGATGATTACATTTCTTCTTCTCTGATCCCAACAATGTCCAACTTGCACCAGGACATCTCTTCACATCTCTACTTTCTGTCATCTTCATGTCTGCAAGCTGGAACTTTTATCTCTAACACAAAACCAAAGGTAAACATACTAATTCTTGTCTCAGCCATCAAGAAATCTCCAGTGAATTCAGAACATGCCTTTTGAAGACATACCTATAACCACTGGTGTTTGAGAGACTATTAGAGTTGTTAACTATTGCTCTTGTGATGCCACATTGATTATGGGCTTTATGCTAGTGAGACATTTCTATTTACCTCAAAAACTCAAAACCCATGTCCTTGCCATTTCTAAAATTACCTTAGTATCTTCATCCAATCTTGACACTGCCAATTTATAGACACTGTCTTTTGCATCACAAAGGCACAGGTGTGTGCAATGGAGGCATTATCACAGTGTCGATCTCAGGCATTGCAAAAATGTCTCACTACTGTTGACTATCAGTTTCTATGTCTGTCATCATTAATTAGTCTGACATTAGAGGCCATGCTTATGGACTCTCTAATGGGTATTTTCTCTCAAAATAGGGTTATTCAGAGTCTTGGTCTGGAACAGTCCTGGAAACTATAATTCACACAATACCAAAATTCCTTTTTGGAAAAATGAGGCTATACATTTACAACTGATTTATTCCATCTTTTTTATATGTTTGCATTTTACCACACTCCATTAAGAATATATTTCTTCCACACCCCTCTTTCACAACTCTTAACATGCTATGTGACCAGCAAAGTTCATGTCACAGCAAGAATTAAAATGTTTTTCTCAACACACCTATGGATTTTGGCTTGCATAACACATATCATGTATTGTATGCTTGCTTTTAATGAAAACAAAAGCTCTATAATTTCTATGTTTTTGTTTGTTTTTGCCTACCAGTTATAAAGAGAATGCTATGAGGTTATCACGGCTTCACCATGATCAGCCTGTAAAGCCCCTGGACCGAGCAGTCTTCTGGATCGAGTTTGTCATGCACCACAAAGGAGCCAAGCACCTGCGGCCAGCTGCCCACGACCTCACCTGGTTCCAGTACCACTCTTTGGATGTGATTGGGTTCTTGCTGGCCTGTGTGGCAACTGCTGTATTCTTGGTCACAAAACGTTGTTTGTTTTCTTGTCTAAAATTTGTTAAAACAGGAAAGAAGAAAAAGAGAGAATAGATCTTTCTAAGTTTGGTAAAGACTTGTATGGGCAATTCTGTTCATTCTAGCCACAATGGCCTTAATGAAAACATAACATCTTCATCCTGTTTTCAAAATTCCCATTCCTCTCTGCCTTAAGCTAGAGATAAAGTCTAGAATTCAACAATAGCATTAACTGGTGGGCATGTCCCCTTCTTCTTTTGTCTTTTCCCAGGTGGCTTTACCCTCTTCCTCAAACATTCCTGACAAAGGTTCACTAATAATTTTACGTTTATTCTATTAATAATATCAATTTTTCCTTTACTTTTAACCTTAAGTGATATGCTGACTGACAATATGCTGAATCCTGGGGAACACACAAAATGTAAGCCAAAGTTGATAGATGCAGGGACCACAGAGAAAAAAAATTCACAAGTTCCTCTAGAACATACAAATTAGGAAACCATCACAGGAGACTAGTATATCATAAGAGTAATGATTTCATTTGTCATAAAAATAAGTCTTTCTGTTTGCCCAGTGTTACTGGGGTCAGAGCACGAATTGATAATAATTGTGATGGCACATCACACCAGGGAAGGTCTACAAATTTCCATTAAACACATAGATAATCATACCCACATTTCTGCCTTTAGTCAGCAAGTATTCTTGTGTGCCCTTTAGTGCAAGAGACTGAGCACTGCCTTCAAACAAGAGATCGATTGAATCATTGATTTTTTTGTCAGGGACAGAGAATGTAAGCAATATTTTAAGGGGGAACAGATAATTTTTAGAAAAAAATAACAAATATAGGAAAATTTTAAAATAATTTTATGAAAATTTTAATTTACAGTACAATTGATAACCTTAAAGTTAAATGTCAATTCATTATATTTAAAAATCATTAAAGCTCATAATCTACAATTGCTATTTATAATCAAAAGTGTAGTTTTCTGTCAAAAACAAATATTTACCTGAAAGATACGATTATTATGCTATTTTTCAGTCTCTATCTCCTACAAATTTAAATTCATCAATAATTGTTATGCCAAGGATATAAGATGTTAGCAGACCTGTTTGACCAAAGATATGTTGTAGTAAACATGCATAAATGCAAAGCACTAAAGAGAAATGTTCATATTGGATTCAGCTTTGCATTAATTTAACAAATAGATTAAAGATTTTACTTTCTTTACCCATCATAAACTTAATGACATGTCTAATTAAAGTTTTAATTTCAGTATTTGATATATAATTGAAGAAATAAATGACATCTATCAGCTTACTGAATTTTTTGAAATTCTTATTTATTTTAATATGGTATATCGAAAATTACTTCCAATTTAAAAATAATTGTATCACCAGAACGTACAGGTATTTCCTCTAGAATATGTACATTACTGAAAATGCAAATAAATTCTAAAAATTTTTTTGTGAAGGCTGAAAATGTGTTTGTTAAATGTTTTCTTTCTAAAAGAGTGATTCATACGGATACGTTTTGACTTTTACAATTATGTTTCGAGAAGAGCTGTTTGTGTTTGTTCTATGCTCAATTTATTTTTGGTAATTAAAATGTAGCAAATAGCTGAGATCTAATGAGAGGTGGGCTGGCCATCCCTGGCCCTGAACACTGCCCAAGTGCAGGCACCCATTTGGTTTGACTTACTTCAGCTCCCTAGCTGCTGCTCACCTGATTTATCCCTTTCTGCCCTCTGGTCATCTACAGGTTTCTTCCTTTGCCTGAGAATCATCAGAAGTCATCTGGCAAAAATTCCTGGGTGATACCAACTGCATTAGCTAGAATAACTGCAGCATATATTTGGATTTTTTTTAAAAAAAGGTTAAGAACAGACTTTCCTTACCAGTCATTCATAAAACTGTTCATTCTAGGATAATAAAGCAGAAACCAAATCCCATCAGCCAGGTACTTTTACATAAATCTTACTTTCTCAGACCTTAGTTATGCAAGAGACTGAACTTAATATTTTTACTTACTTTGTTCATAAACATTCCACATGCCGTTTATCCTCTGGTCAGGGTTCTTTACCTGGTAGGATGATCCAAATCTTTGTACACTCCAAATCAATGTGAAAATATATCTTGTCTTACTGGTTTGCCACAGCTTTCCACTGACATTTTACTATTGGACATCAGAGTATTGAGATGGTTACTAGGCATAATTTTGCCTACACTTATCATGTGTCAGCAGCCTAGTTTATCTTTGGTATTTTGGATAAATTACCACAGCCAGGAGAGTAAGCCCTTCTCTAAGTGAATTCTGATGCAGAGGAGCTCAAAATAATTAAGAAGTATGCATGCTTCCAATCTAAGTATATTATGTCCATATGCCTGGGTGGAATCACTGCTCTCTTGAGAAATGCACCCTCTAAACTGCCTGTCTCCAAGTTGTAGTAAAGAAAAACAAATTTGTCTAAGGGAAATAGGGAAGCATACTTGTTAGAGGATCCATTCCCACTTTCAACCCCTTGATATCGTAACCCATGTATTCAAACTGAAATACAGAATATATCGTATATCAGGCCATAATTTAAAGCATACACTGCCTTCTTTAAAACAGAACCTAAAATATACAGGGTATTAGCCCCCAGCTAAAACCCTGAAAAGCTCTCATTACCTAATGGGGAACCTGGTAAAATCAGCAAATTTCATGGATATTAGACTTTGTGGAATTTCCTCAGCTGTAAATACGTTTCCTGCCCATACACAATGCTGATATCATTACCATGATTTTTTTTTTTAAGATATTGGAGGTAGGAGTTTATTAATTTATTTATTTATTCTTGCTGTGTTGGGTCTTCGTTTCTGTGCAAGGACTTTCTCTAGTTGTGGCAAGCGGGGGCCACTCTTCATCGCAGTGCGCGGGCTTCTCACTATCGCGGCCTCTCTTGTTGCGGAGCACAGGCTCCGGACGTGCAGGCTCAGTAGTTGTGGCTCACGGGCCTAGTTGCTCCACGGCATGTGGGATCCTCCCATACCAGAGCTCGAACCCGTGTCCCCTGCATTAGCAGGCAGATTCTCAACCACTGCGCCACCAGGGAAGCCCATGATTTTTATTAAGACTATGTCTCTGGTTTGTGATGCGGCAGAAATACTATAGAAAGGTTTTAAAAGCATTGGTAGGTTCCACAAAAGTCTAAGCCACCTGCAGAGACAATTTACTTGTTTCTCTGGAACTGCTTTGGCCTGTTCTCATATATACTATATCTATTTAATTGTAGAATGTTGCTGCTAATGTTCAGTTATATTTTTGTTATTGCAAAATAATAGTCATCATAAGTAACATAGTCACTTGGTACCCATGATCAGGTATTCATTCTCAACCAGAACTCAATAACAAGCCAGGGACTGTTTCTTCTAATGGAGAAGAGACATCAGAAAAATAGGTCATAGTAGTGCTCCAGAATCTTAGGACTTCTATTTTTCTGACGCTTATCAAATGTTTATTTAACTCTCTGCTATCTGCTACAAGCACAGCAGGTACACTTGGATATTCTTTCTTTTTTTTTTAATTGTGGTAAAAAAATATATCTACCTTCTTAGATTTTTACAGGTACAATACAGTACTGTTAGCTCTACGCACAATGTTGTACGACAGATCTCTAAAACTTGTGCATCTTGCAGAACTGAAACTCATACTTCTTGAATAGCTACTCCCATTGTCCCTTCCCTCCAGTTGCTGGCATCCACCACTTTATTTTCTGCTTCTATGAGTTTGATTATTTAAGATACCTCATATAAATGGAATTACGCAGTATTTTATTCTTCTATGACTGGCCTATTTCACTTAGCATAATGTCCTCAAGTTTCTTCCCTGTTGTAGCATGTGACAGGATTTCCTTCATTTTTGATGCTGAATAATAGTCCATTGTATGTATATACCACATTTTCCTTATCCATTCATCTGTGGGTTTACATTTAGTTTGCTTCTATATCTTAGTTATTGTGAATAATGCTGCAATGAACACGTAAGTGTAGATATCTCTTTGAGATAGTGATTTCAATTATTTTGGATAAATAACCAGAAGAGAAATTGCTGCATCATATGGTAATTCAATTTTTACTGTTTGGGGAAATCCCCTTACTGTTTCTAATAGTGGACACACCATTTTACATTCTCACCAACAGTGCGTAAAGATTCCAACTTCTGCAGATCCCTGACAATACTTGTTATTTTTTGTTTGTTTGTTTTATAATTGCCAACAGGTATAAGGTGATATCAAACTGGTTTTTATTTGCATTTTCCTAATTGTTAGTGATGTTGAACATCTTTTCATATATACATACATGTTCACCATTTGTATATTACCTTTGCAGAAATATTTATTCAAGTCTTTTGCCTATTTTGTAATTAAGTTTTGTGGGGATTTTTGCTATTGAGTTGTAGGAGTTCCTTATATATTTTGGATATTAACCCCTTATCAGATATGTGATTTGCAAATCTTTTTTCCATTTCATTAAGTTACCTTTTAAATCTTCTAACGGTTTCCTTTGTTTTGCAGAAGTTTTTAGTGAGATGTAATCTTACTTGTCTATTTTTGCCTTTTGTTTACTGTGCTTTTTGTGATGTATCCAGTAAATCATGGTCAATACCAAAGCCATGAAACTTTTCCTCTGTTTTCCTCTTGGGGGTTTGCAATTTCAGGCCTTACATTTAAGTCTTTAGTGCATTCTGAGTTAATCTTTGTGCATGATGTAAGGTAAGAATCCGATCTCATTTATTTGCATGTGGATATCCAGTTTTCACAACACTATTTTTTAAAGACACTATCCTTTCCCCACCGTGTATTCTTGGTGCCTTGTCAAAAACCAGTTGACCATATATGTGTGGGTTTATTTTTGGACTCTTTATTCTGTTTCATTGGTCTATATGTCTGTCTTTAAGTCAGAACCATACTATTTGCAATATGTTTGAAATCAGGTAGTGTGATGCCTCCAGCTTTGTTATTCTTTCTTGAAATTGTTTTGGATATTTGGGGCCTTTTGTGGTTCCAAATCAATTTTAGATTTTTTTTCTATTTCTG